GACACCGTGAGTTTACCGCGCTGGGTGACGGCCAACCCTAGTGACGCCCCTCATCTTCTGTACATACATAGGACCTACAACTATGACCAAACCTGTACGTCTCCAACTCTTCTTACTGACATGCCATCAGTTATCATTTCAAATTTCAATGCAGATGAGCGAAAAGTGTTTTTTTTTTTTTTTTAAAAAAAAAACGTCATAATCTTTGCAGACATCTCTTTGCAAAAGGATGTTAGGTCATGTATAATAGAAATAAAGTTGCATTTTGTTACCGTGAGCTAAATACACCAAGCCTCAACCAAAAGGAAGGGAAACAATCTATCGTAACACAGATTGTGGATTCATTATTTAATAATTAATTGCATGGCCTATTTTATATGTTATTTTTATGATGAATATTTATATATTTAACAAATAACACTTTAAACAAAAAAATTATCTAGCAAAATTTAAATTGACATCCAATTCGTTTCAGTTGCAAGATTTTTCTTGTAAAAAAAAATTATACATGTAGCTTAAATCTGAATCATTTAAAATGCAATAATCTCTTTGTATTTTACTTTTTTACTTTAAAAAATTTTTTTTTTTCAAAGTTTACTTTTAATTGAAATTATGCTACCGGACATAATCTCTGAGCCTTGATAGAGTATTTGTTATTTTAAAAGGCTTGTGCTAAATCCATTCCTGGTTGTGTCAGATGCCATGTTGGAATGACTTCCTGCTTGAGGAGGTCAGCGGTTCTCAAATTTACTGCCGCGCAGTAACCTCTCTTTTAAAATTGGTGAAATTAATTTGATTTATGAACACAAGCACGGGTGAAATTTGTATTTCAAAACGCTTTTTAATATGTTTCAAACAATAATTTTTCTTTTCAGAAATGTTTTTTTTTTTTTAAATGTGAGTTTAAGAAAAGATATTGATTATCAAATACCAATATTTCAGGTAAATATGACGTATCATTGACGTCAGCGTGAGCGAAAACCGTAGAACGGTCCCAAACGGGGAATGCCAGTTTGTATACGAATAATTATTTTTTTTTAGATCAGATGCTTGGCACCTAATGTTTGTAGACACTTTTTTTTTAATGCGTCAATTCTATACAGGGAAATTAATCTTATTCTACCGGTGTTAAATTGTACAAATTTGTTCAGCGGGCATCAAATTTTGTTATTGTTTTGTTTTTAAATTGTATTTTATTATTCACTTTTGTTTAGCACATCCAACCCTTTGAAACCAGTGTAATAAAAATTTAAGACAACATATTTTGTTCTTTTCTCATGGTATGGTTATAAAATGAAAGCAGAATTTAAAAAATAGCAATAAAAATCTTGTGATACAGACCGGCAACTGACCCAAATATTGTGATACAGACCGGAACCTGTCCCATATCTTGTGATACAGACCGGCAACTGTCCCAAATCTTGTGATACAGACCGGCAACTGACCCAAATATTGTGATACAGACCGGAACCTGTCCCATATCTTGTGATACAGACCGGCAACTGTCCCAAATCTTGTGATACAGACCGGCAACTGACCCAAATCTTGTGATACAGACCGGCAACGGTCCCAAATCTTGTGGTACAGACCAGCGACTGTCCGATGTCTTGTGATACAGACGGGCAACTGTCCCAAATCTTGTGATACAGACCGGCAACTGACCCAAATCTTGTGATACAGACCGCCAACTGACCCAAATCTTGTGATACAGACCGGCAACTGCCCGATGTCTTGTGATACAGACTGGCAACTGTCCCAAATCTTGTGATACAGACCGGCAACTGACCCAAATCTTGTGATACAGACCGCCAACTGACCCAAATCTTGTGATACAGACCAGCAACTGCCCGATGTCTTGTGATACAGACTGGCAATTGTCCCAAATCTTGTGATACAGACCGGCAACTGTCCCAAATCTTGTGATACAGACCGGCAACTGTCCCAAATCTTGTGATACAGACCGGTGACCGCCCTAAATCGTGTCAATTTAATGATGGTCTCTAGAGGCTGAAATAAATACAACACTTTTGTCAATGAGTTCGTCACTCTAATAGTTATAGATCAATTTCTCAACTTTTTTTTTTTCCATTACGCATGGCTACTTGAGAACATCTGATCTCAAGGTTTAATTCTAGTTACAGCACGACTGCGCGCCACTTTAAAAAAAAAAAAGAAAAAAAGTTCCTACTCTTACATTGTCCTCTCCATCTCTCTTGTTGAAATTGTTTCATACTTTTTCCGAATGGCCGAAACTGTGTCCCTGTTCATAATCTTCAAATGTGCCCCACCCCCAAGTTGGGAAATGCGATAATTGGACTATTCGCCGCCACCACTCCGCCGATGTCATTTTGCCCCCCCCCCCCCCCCACCCCTCAGCTTACTCACCACCGCCATTCCGCAGACAGTCATTTCTCTCCGACAAAAATAGACATAGGATTAAAGACAGAAGTTACAGCATGATTTTTATGGCTGATTAAAATGATGTTAAAAAATTCGTATAGCATCAATGTTAGATTTAGTCTTTAGAGTTGCTAGGGGTCAAATATCTAGAACCCCTCATAAATCCGGTGCATCGTGTTTTTGCCCAGTCGTAATCGCCGGCTTGCATCGATGGCGCGGCAAGGTATTGCCATGATGTGTACCGGTTTAATGTGTACCGGTTTAATGTGTACCGGTTTAGTGTGTACCGGTTTAATGTGTACCGGTTTAATGTGTACCGGTTTAATGTGTACCGGTTTAATGTGTACCGGTTTAATGTGTACCGGTTTAATGTGTACCGGTTTAATGTGTACCGGTTTAATGTGTACCGGTTTAATGTGGCCTGCCCTGTAGGACCGTAGTTTGGTGACGCGTGCGCGGTCACCTTGGCAAGCGATGAATCGTTGGATTAATGTAAGCGGTCAACTGAACCTGCGCTCATGTCATCAGTCCACAAATGACAGCGGAACCTTGCTTTGACGCGGGAATCGGGGGGTCAATAAAATTGTATCGATTTATTAGTAGCAGAGGATCGCCTTAATGCGGGGTTTTTCAATATACAGTACCGGGTAGTCAGATAGAGATTATGTTTTTAAAAATCTTGTGAGCTATTTGGTGTTGAAGATAACTAGTTGTACGAGACTGCATATTTGAAATCTTTTTTTCATGTCATTTAAAAAAATAAAATAAAAAGAAAGCAAATCATATGCGAATGAATATATAAAATTTTGGCGAGCCATGCCACAATCGCTATATCACAGAACTTTTACTATAACGGAGATAGTGGGAGGGGGGGGGGGGGGGGGGATTCAACTGTACAAAGGTAATTGAATTTTATAATTGAGGCCTAGCTTGGACAACGCGACCACGTAGCGTGTATAAAATACGGGAAGAGGGGCAAAATCTACTTTAAGAATTCCAGATGGCGCTCCACGTATCCACTAATGCTTAGTCGTATCGACTCTATTTAGAGTTGGTAGTGGTGAGTACTGATACTGTTTTGATACTGCTTTTAGGGTGCCTAAGAGTGTACGGAATCAATAAGCGTACGAAATCAATAAGTGTACGAAATCAATAAGTGTACAAAATCAATAAGTATACGAAATCAATAAGAATACGAAATCAATACGAAATCAATACGAAATTAATAAGTGTACGAAATCAATAAGTGTACGAAATCAATAAGCGTACAAAATCAATAAGTGTACGAAATCAATAAGTGTACAAAATCAATAAGTATACGAAATCAATACGAAATCAATAAGTGTACGAAATCAATAAGTGTGCGAAATCAATAAGTGTGCGAAATCAATAAGTGTGCGAAATCAATAAGTGTGCGAAATGCCAAGCAGCCAGAGGGCACTTCAGTTATGATGTTAAAAATAAATACACTTTGATTCCGCATTGCGGTGCACTCATGAACTATTATTATCAATGGCGGCTATTGTTTAAAAAACAGCTTGAAAAAATAATGTGTTTTTTAAGAAGGCCATGCATCGCAAGGAGAGCCAAGATGGCGATGGATGTTAGGGAGAGCCAAGATGGCGATGGATGTTAGGGAGAGCCAAGATGGCGATGGATGTTAGGGAGAGCCAAGATGGCGATGGATGTTAGGGAGAGCCAAGATGGCGATGGATGGCAGAGAGAGCCAAGATGGTGTTACATGGCAGGGAGAACCAAGATGGCGTTACATGTTAGGGAGAACCAAGATGGCCATACATGGGTAAGAGCAGTGGTACCCAAATGGTGGTCCGTGGACATTCACCGGTCCGCATGCCTAACGCTGCCGGTCCCCATAACATAAATATAATATATATAAATAGAAATATAAGTATACAAATAATTCATGCACCTGTCCCTGGTAAAATTTCGAAACTTGTTAACCGGTCCGCCAAACTTAAACGTTTGGGAACCACTGAGTTAGAGACCCAAGATGGCGATACATGTAAGGAATGACCAAGCTGGCCATACATGGCTTAGAGAACCTAGATGGCGATACATGGCTTAGAGAACCTAGATGGCGATACATGTCAGGATCACGTTAGCCAAAAAAACAGGCAGGAACTAGACAAACATTTTTAACTCGCTAGACTCCATGTCGAACTTGAATTTGGAATGAAGCAGCTGCATACATAAACCTACTCACTGCATATAACGACAAGAGAAGTAGAATTATTCCAAAATTAACAAACCAAAATACTTGGTGCCTTGAGTAACAATCAGCGTGGTGTATTTTTTCCACCGAATTCTATGGGTTGATCATCAATTTAAAGAAGGAAGAAAAAGGTTGCTTGATATGTTTGTCGTTTTTTTAAGACAACTAGATTAAGTTAAACCGGGAAAGTTGTTTTTTTGTGTTATCACAAACCTGGTCCAGTGAGACCACAATGGACATTCTACATATTTAATAACACCTACCCTGAGCTCATGTCACTAGTTCTATGTTGATGCCAGGTTGCTGAAAGATACAAGTCAAATCCCGCCCCCTCGCACCCATCTCATTCAAATTTTTGTGCGTTGACATATATTTTACAACTCAATTCC